CGACTGTGCACATATTACACGAGCACATTTAATCGAATGTCCGAGCAGTTAATTATGCTAATCGATGACCTATTAACACTTCGCACTTTTACTATCGAGAGTAATATAATCGAATTGAAATAAAAATAATACTAAAAATGCAATGCATTTCTTTGCAATATCTTTATTTAATTTATTCTTTATATTGAATTATATCAAGCATTTCAAAGACTAAATCGCGATAGTGCGWAGTGYTAGYTATAATACTTAAAACTAAGTATCAATTCATCAAAGGTTTTGCGGATTTGATTACGACTCTATCTCGTTCGAGATAGAATCGAAATAGAAATGGATTTTTTAAATGGTTGCAAATCCCTTTGAATCATGAAACATAATACATAATACAGAATTGTCACAAAATAGATTTACAAGTCAAGCAAGATAGAATATAAAGATATAATTTTGTGACAATTCCGTATAAAACCCGGAGGTGGGGACTCGAACTGAAAAGTGCAAGTATGCCACGTGCAATTCCGAGCTCCTACCTGCTTATAAATAAAGTTTCACATTCGCTCTAAAAAATAGACATGCATGCCCACCCACTCACTCCACGATTCTCACACATACCACCAGGGTGCAAWAGCCTAAACTAGAGAGCATGCCCCGGGGCACCTCCGACACCCCAGTTCAAACGCGTTTTCTAAATTTATGGGAGTACGTACCAATTGCTGTAATCGTCTGTCAAGGCTCGTGATTATTGCATAAATGACTAATGCAAAAATACAAGTATACACTAGTATATATTGCATACTAGTAATATACGAGTATATCATAGTTTCCGCAAATAAATGCGGTAACTCTACTATGCAAAACGATTGTTAAAAAAGAAAATTTCGTATCGTATGCGTGACTCTACAAGTTATTTTTATTAAATAACTTTAAAAAATAATATGCGCGGTATTACGTATCCGAAACGATGTACAATGCACACACCTAAGCGCACACACATGTGCAATGTACACCGTGCAATCACTAGCACAATGACAAACGCCACATGGGGGTAAAAAACTTAAAACTAAACCTATACTAACCGTTTCTCACCCATACGTGTAACACCTGGGCACACGCAAAAATGAGAACGCAGAAAGTATAGGGGGGAGAAACGGGGATTAGTAAATTAGATGCTGAAAATCCTAATCTAAGATTTGATTAACATATAAAAATATTCTCTCATAAATCTAAGCGGACTATGACTCTACAAGTTATTTATAATGACTTTCAAAAAGATTTTAAGAATATAAAAAAAAATTAAAAAATATCTCGGACGACTCCTTTGATTAAGTTGGCTGTTCTAATGAAAGAACTGGGCTTTGAGCCGCCACTTAATTGCCAGAATCTATCCGTCGCGAATGGATTTTTGTTTTCTTGCTCATTTATTTATTATATCGAAAAAGAAATCGCGATTAAATAAACTAAGTACGAAGCAATGCATGTAAGACATTTATTACATGCTTTATTGGACGAAATCGAGTAAATTAATACTCGATTTCACCACTACTAAACGCGAACGAAACACGTAATAAAAAGTAAAAGTGCATTAATTAATTGCACWGTTAATTAAATGAATTTAACCGATGAGACAAGAAGACCTATCCTGAACTAATAATATAACATACAACAAAATATACAGTTTTCAT